TAAAAAAAATATGTTTAGCTGGAGCATTTAATATCATTAGATTTAATAGTTAGGTTCCTTGTCTTTTGAATTGATTATTTTGTGTTCTACATTTTTTTGTTAATACAGAAATTGTGCAATTTGTCATTTGCTGGTTACTCAAAACCTAAAATTAATTTCTTTTCCTTTCCCCACCCTACTTCATTCCTACAGAACTGAGAGAAGATGGTTTCCAGCCTCAGACTTATCTAGTACAGGGAGTGAAAGCACTGCATACTGCTTTAAAATTATGGATGAAAAAAGATGTAAGTCATTATAGTTGTTTTTATGTAGCRAGGTCAAGAAGAAAAGAGTACTTTTGCTGTTTTTGCAGTATTTGAATTTGCCACTGGTAGAGGGAATGGAAATTATGTTTTAAAATACAGCCTGCATTTTATTATACAGTATTTATAGATGTACTTGTGTCTGGTTATATTTTTGATAAGAAAGTACTTGAGTAAATCTTTAGTCTTTAATCTGGAAAATAAAGTATTTCAAAAATATTTAAGATATTGACTAAGAGATGAACATGTAGCTATAGAATAAAATAAAATTGAGCTCTTATAATGTGCTTTGTCTTTATGTACACAGGATTTCATTTAATCCACAGAGCAACTGTATGAGGTCTATTGGTATCCTGTTTAAGTAATTCCCAAAAGAACTGGTGAGCTAGGGACATAGAGTTAGTCTCTAAGATTGTAAACCTCTGCTCTTTGCCACTCTGCTAAACTTATGTAAAAAATGAGGAAAAGGAGGTGGTAATATTCAAGCATGAGCTCTTTATTTTCACTAAATTGTGGCCCAGTTGTACTTGAAACCTTTGAGATATCATCCTACATCTCTGTTTAGAATTGGTATTTCCTTCCCTCTAGAGCATTTATTTCTTGTGCCAGTGGACTTAAAACTAATCTATATATAGAGAGAGTAAAAACTTAAAACACATYTGTAGAGAGTAAATTATGCATTTTTCCTTTCTCTGGGTTTATGAACTCTTGAAAAATAGGTTTCATCTTTCTCATTTTTATTTCAACTCATAGATCTTGGCACATAATGCTTTAATAAGTGATAAATAATATGCTAATGAAAATATATTTCCATGTTAATTTCTTGAATGTCCATTTGAAATTAAAATTCTACTTTTAAGAGATATTATTGGGAGACAATAATTAATAGGTTATGATAGTCCCAGTAATTTTGACACTTCCTTTCACTTTATTATCACTGCTATATATCCACAGAGAAAGGCTGTATGGAAACATTCAGAAAATAAAAATCGGGCTGGGGATGTGGCTCAAGTGGTAGCGCGCTCGCCTGGCATGCGTGCAGCCCRGGTTCGATCCTCAGCACCACATAACAAACAAAGATGTTGTGTCTGCCGATAATTAAAAATAAATAAATAAATATTAAAATTCTCAGAAAATAAAAATCATGTCTTCCACCATCAAAGACTTCATTATCTAGATAATAAGGAAAATCATAAGCAAATTAACAACTACCTAACATGATAAAAACAAAATGAAGCTTATGTTTTTAAAACTGTGTAATCTGTTTCCTGCTGGAGGCTTTAGAGGAGTGGTTCTCAAATGTGTGTATTTATCAGCATTGTCTGTAGAGCTTTTTAAAAATAAAACCTCTGGATCCTTCTCTAGAGATTATAGTTTGGTAGATCTGGGATGGGTCTGAACCCAAAAACCTCATAGGTGATTTCAGTGCATAGTAAAATTTGTTATCATGAGTAATGTTAAATTTGCTCTAAGATGAGAGGCAGCTTGCCTTAATGGTTAAGAGCTTGGATTTTAGAGTCAGATATTTGATTCAAATCTCAGCTTTGCTGCTAATGAACTATGTGACTCAGGGCACATTACCTAACCTCTGTGCCTTAGTTCCCTTGGTTGCAAAATGGGAATAATTTACAGGTTGAACATCCCTAATCTAAAAATCTGAAATCTGAAATGCTTCAAAATCCAAAATACTTTTGGTATTAAGCATTTCAGATAAGGAATACTAAAACCAATAGTATCTGTGTCATACAGTTATTGAAGGGGTTAAATGAGTTAATGCTTATAAATTATTTAACAGTATGAAAGCACAGAGTTAGTACTATGTTAATACTACTATTATTATCAGTTTGTTTCAATAAATTATGCTAAAACCAAGTAGAGGGTACAAAGCAAAAGTAGAAACTCTGCTATGTTGAATGTGTCTAAAAAATCAGAATGTTATTAGATATAGAGATTATTATATGGAAATAGGCATAAAAATAATAACATTAGTTTGCAGTACAGTAAATGTGGTGACTCAACAATTAATTTTTTTTTCTGTTCATTAGGTTGTTTCCTCATTTTGCTTTTAACTGTTAAATGGAAAAGAGTTTACCAAAATTTATTCAAATTAGATTTCCATGAGACACTAGGATTATTTAAGTGCCTGTGTTCCCCATAAAATTCCTTATGTATTGTCAATTAAATGTTAGGCTTAATTATTTTAATATATATCTGTAGTAGTAACTGTAGTTAGAATTACAGGAGGATTTGAAGTATAGAGTATAATGTTACTATTCAATATAAAGCAAAATTCACTCAAACAAGTCTGTTTTTAATTCAATTTGAGGATTTTATATGATTATAGAACATAAAATGATGATGAGGATCTCCTTAGAAGGTATTATACCAACTATATGATCTCTGAGACTGGACTTAATTCTTACTGGCTATGTCTGCAAAGTCTAGAGAACCCAAAAATAGGGTCAGTAAGTTAGTTTTTTATTAATAAAGTGTAAGTAACTTTGGTTTTGTTATCTTTGTTAATCCAAATACAGCTTGTATCTGAACATGCCTTTGAAATTCCAGACAATGTGAGACCTGGACATCTTATTAAGGAACTTTCTAAAGTAATTCGAGCAATAGAGGTAAGAATGGAAACTCTCATCTAAATGCTTGCTTACTCTGTTTTGAGAAGCAAATGGATCTACCACTATTGTGGGGTGACCAGTACCCTGCCAGGGTAGGTTCCTGCTCAGGAGGTGTGAGCTGACTAGGAAAGAAAAAGTCTGAAATAATTAATAAGAAATAGAGACTGAGCCAGAAACTAGATAAAAAGGGGAGTGCCTGATAGGTCTTTTAATCCTGATAGGAGCGGAACTGAACAACTGAAAAATGTCCTCCGTTTCTTATTTTTAAATTTTTTTTTGTTGTAGATGGACACAATATCTTYATTTATTTATTTATTTATTAAAAATATTTATTTATTTATGTATCTTTAGTTTTAGGTGGATACTTAGTTTGTTTTTATGTGGTGGTGAGGATCAAATCCAGTGCCTCACACATGCCAGGCAAGCGCTCCAYCACTGAGCTACAACCCCGGCACCCTCCTTCTTTTTTTTAAGGGGGAGTACATCAAAGTCAGGGATAAGGTTTTAAGATTTCAGTGGGAGGAGTCTTGCTTCTCCATGTGGCAGTAAAAATGTTGATTGGCATTTTGTCAAGCCACACCCATCCCTGAGAAGCTGTGTGGTTCCTGCTGGTCACTCCATCTCCCATGATGCTGTGCTGAACTTGTGACAGAGCTAGGTAGGAAGTTACATGAATTAGGCATTCCCAAACCAGCAAAGTTGTTCCTTTTCACCAAAGGAAAAAGTACCATTCAAAGCTGAGATTTGAATCCAAATATCTGACTCTAAAATCCAAGTCCCCAATACCAGACTTTCCTGCCTAATGCCTTCTACATTCTTTTAGTTCACGCATAGTTCACATATAGTTGACGGATGGCTTCCGGCATACCACCATGATGCAAACATTTGAAAGCACCTTACACAGGGGCTGGGGTGTAGCTCAGTGTTAGAGTGTTTGCCTATCACATGAGAGGTCCTGGATTCCATCCCTAGTATAAGAAAAAGAAAGGAAGGGAGAGAGGGAAAGAGGAAGGGAAGAGAAGAAAATGAAGCCAAAAGCACTTATAAGAAATAGAATGAGCTTAGTCTTGGACAGAGTCTCAAGATTTCTAAAATCCTGGAGAAGAATTTGGAATATTGTATTGCAATGAAGTAATGAAATAATGAGGAGGCAGTTTCCAGGTTACCTCAGGTTCTTCAGGTTACTTCAAAAATTAAAATAACAAAAACAACATAATTATCAGTACAACTTTCAGATACAATTAATTTCAGCCATTCAGAAATGAATTCATGTTAAATAATTAGAGCAAGAGAAAAAGCTAAGATTAAAAAAAAAAACCTAAGGGAAGTGAGTAAAGTTAGGTGAAACTGTGTTGGAAAGAGGGATGATATTAGTGGGTTGGGCAAGGCAGTCCTCTTGAGGGAAAATATGAGAGCAGCCAGTGAGGTAAATACTTTTGATAAAAACCTATAAATCTGATTAGGTATTTTAATAATTAATAGTAATTCTAGGTATTTAAGAAAGGAGGTTTTTAATTAAAATAATTTTTCAGGAAAGTGATTGTTCTAGTGTATAGTTTGAATTAAGAGGAAATTAAGTGGAGGATGAAAGTCAACTGGTAAATTAACATCTGACATTAGGGCTGTTTTAAGGAATGAAAAGAGGTACATATCTAAGAAATATTAAAATCCTAGATTTAGAATAAGAATAGTTCAAGTATTTCTCAGTATGTTCAAATGTAGTAGAAAAATCTCTTAAAGAGTGATAGTAATTGCATATAAATGGATTTAGGATCAAAAAACACATTTTACCGAGTCCTATTTAAATTCCAAATGTTGAAGAAAAGGGAAGAATGGATAGGTTTAGGAAGTGGTATATGAAGATTAAAACTTAATTTGCAGGCTGGGGCAGTAGCTCAGTGGCAGAGCACTTGCCTTCCATGTGTGAGGCACTGGGTTCAATCCTTAGTACCACATAAAATTGAAACAAAGGCAATCTGCCCATTACTACTACAAAAAAAAAAATTTWAAAAACTTTTTCTTACATAGTAGGAATTCAGTTATACCTAAAGCTGAAATCAGTATAAACATATTATTTAGAAAGTTAGAGACAAATAACTGGGTGGTGGTGGGGAAACAGTTGTCAGAATTGCAAATTTTAGCTATGTACTCAGAATAATTGAAAGCAGGGTCTTGGACAGATATGTTTGTACCGTATTCGTAGCAGCATTATTCACAATAGCCCAAAGGAAGGAGCAACGCAAGAGTCCATCAGTGGATGAATGGATAAACAAACTGGTACATAGAGTATATAAAATGGTTATTCTGACACATGCTACAACATAGATGAACTTTGAAGGTATTTTGCTAAGTGAAATAAACCAGTCACAAAAGGACAAGTATGATCCCATTCATATGAGGTTCTTAGAGACGGAAAGCAGAATAATGGCTGTCAGGAGCTGGGGAAAAGGGAGGATGGGAAGTTAGTGGTTAATAGGGGCAGATGAAGACGTTCTGGAGATGGATGTGGTGCTGATTGCATAGCAGTGTGACAGTACAGAATGCCCCTGAAYTGWATACTTAAAAGTGGTTAAGATGGCAAATTTTATGTAATGTGTTTCCACAGGGTAAGTGGTTGCCTTTGAAAAATGGGTATCAGGGATGGGAAAGAGTAGACTGCTGCTTTTCATGATATTCTTATTTAATTTTTAAAACTRCATAGATGTATGGTCCATAAGAAATTACCAGGAGGAAAAAGTACCAAACTCAAGTACCATTGCATAGGTAATCCTTAGAGAAGATAGCTTTGGCTTAGGGTAGAGCCGAGGTTCCCATGTGGCAGTCGAAGTTAAGGAGAAATAAAAGAAAGGCAGAAGAATTAATATAATTAGATAGGAGAAAAAAAATCTCCTTTGTTTTCACATTATCAGGGTGGGTTTTGAATCATTCAAAATCTTAATAAAATGTTTAAAATATTAACTAAATTCTGTGTATTCATTATTTCTAGAAGGCTGTAACATTTCATTATTGTATCTGGATATTTAGTCATTTTGCTGTAATACACTTTCTTTAATATATTTAACATGAAAAAAAATAAGGACAAAAACTGCAAAAATGTGTGGCTTTGATTTTTTTTAAATTTTTTTTTATAGTTGTAGATGGATAGCATACCTTTATTTATTTGTTTATTTTTATGTGGTGCTGAGGATCAAACCCAGTGCCTCACATATGCTAGGAAAGCATTCTGCCACTGAGCTACAGTCCCAGCCCTGTGACTTTGATTTAAAAAGTAAATATTGGGCTGGGGTTGTGGTTTGATGGTAGAGCACTTGCCTAGCATGTGTGAGTCACTGGGTTTAATCCTCAGCACCACATATAAACAAATAAATGTCCATCAACAACTAAATATATATGTATATACATATATAAAGTAAGTATTGATTTACACAAATATGTACGTAAAAAGAATTTTTCATTGGAAAGAACTGGAAGCAGCCTGAATAGCTACCTACCAGTAAGTATTAGGCCAGTAATTCATGATATACCCCTACACAGCTATTAGTATAATACTGGAAATCAAGGGAATGTGTTCACAGTATATTACATAGAGAAGAGATGGGGAAACCAAGGCTTTGATTTGGTCTTTTTCTTTTCTGTGATTAAATGGAATAGTTTTTGTTTTCTAAGAGTATTTTTATGGCTGAATAGTCAAGTCTATATATAGTAGCCTTTTTCTTAAAATACATTCTGAATCTAATTCTTAAAGGAAGAAAATGGCAAACCAGTTAAATCTCAGGGAATTCCTACTGTGTGTCCAGTTTCACGATCCTCAAATGAAGCAACTTCCCCATACCATTCCCGACGAAAGATGAGGAAACTTCGAGATCATAATAATATTCGAACTCCTTCTAACCTAGACATCTTAGAGCTCCATACAAGGGAAGTTCTTAAAAGATTAGAGATGTGTCCATGGGAAGAGGTAAGTATTACACTTCATGATGAGAAAAATAAACCCAGTTGTTTGTTAAAGTTTTTTAAAGGGGTAATAAAATTTATATTATCAATTATTCTTGTTGTTATTTGCTGTAGAATTGTAGGGGTCAACAAATATTTTTGTCTGGGGGCAAGGTGGGGTTCCTAATCTTTCTAGGCATCAGTGTCATGTTAGGATGAATAGACCTCATTCATTTGCTGACATGTTTATTGAGTGTTTACCAAGTACCCTGTACTCTCTTAGGTTCTAGAGAAGTTGCCAGAGTAAGCAAAAATTAAGTCCCTGTCCTTATGAAACTTCATCAGAGTTCAAGTACAAAAATTGGGAGGCAAAAATATATACTAAAATAATGTAATTTCAGATGCCAAGTGTTTTGAAGGACAATAGAATAAATAGTCATGGTGACTAGCTGCTTTAGCTGGTATGGTAGGAGAGCCTCTCAGGTGGAGATGTTTGAACTGACATCTTATTAACAGGAAGTTGTCATGTAGATACACAAATTTGGGGAATAGTATTGCAGGTTGGGGAAGAGCAAATGCACAAACCTGTCCTTGAGCCAACGGCACCAGCCTGGCTGACTACCTGACTAGGAGACTATTAGAATAAACCCTTTAAAATCAGAGAAATGCTGGCCTATTGGACAGAAGGGAGAGTGAGAGGTAGTAATAAGATCAATGCAGCACCATTTAAAACATGATAATGAATTTGTGATGAGATCTGTGTCATCTATGATTTTATATTTTAAGAACAGGATAGATAGTAATCCACAATGAATAAGGTAGAGGAATCACTAGATTAAAACATTTAAAAAGGGGCTGGGGATGTGGCTCAAGCGGTAGCACGCTCGTCTGGCATGCGTGCGGCCTGGGTTCAATCCTCAGCACCACATACAAACAAAGATGTTGTGTCTGCCGAAAAACTGAAAAATAAATATTAAAAAAAATACCATTAAAAAAATTACATACAAATTATGACCTTCTTAAATATTTTAAATTGGACATAATTACATTGTTTTGAGAGTATGCTGTTCTAAGCCAGGCACAGCRGCATACATCTGTAATACCGGGGCTCAGGAGGCTGAGGGTCATTGGTTAAATGCCCCTGAGTTCAACCCCCAGTACCAAAAAACCCCAAAACAAAATATTGTACTAAACCTACTTAAGTCATAGCCCTCTGGGGAAGTTTTAGCTTATTACAAAAGGTTCTACTTATTTTTAAGGAAAAATATCTCARAAAGGAAATAATTTTTATACATTAAAAACAAGCTACTGGAGGGCTGGGGTTGTGGCTCAGCGGTAGAGCACTCGCCTAGCATGTGCGAGGCCCTGGGTTCTATCCTTAGCACCACATAAAAATAAATAAAATAAAGGTATTGTGTATAATTAAAAAATAAATATTAAAAAAAAAAGCTACTGGGGTTGGAATTGTGACTCAGTGGTAGAACACTTRCCTAGYGTGTGTGAGGCAATGGGTTTGATTCTCAGAACTGCATATATATAAATAAAACAAAGGTTCATTGACAACTAAAATAAATAAATAAATAAGAGCGAATAAAATGAGCTACCATCGTGTCTTTCTTCACCTCATGGCCTCCRTGCCTAGTGATAATGGTGTGGATGCTAATAGTGCCTCATGGGAAGACAGATATGAGGTCAAGGTAAGGGTAAGTGGGAAGGCCCAGCAGTTACACTTTAGCAGGAAGAAGCAGAAGAGAATAAAAAAAAATCTAAGACCGTATTGCCCCTTCTTTTCAGCTTCTGCAGGAGTGGAGCTTTCTTTGGATTTGCTTTATGCATATTTTACATTCTGCTTTACAAAATGTATTTTATTGTCAATGGCCCTCCCAAAAGATGAACCATCCTCATGCCTTAACTTGAAGAACTCTGGAATATGGGATTGCTGCATGTTTCCAAACCCAGGCAGCTGCCTGTCACTCTGCATGGCAGGGCTATGGGGAAATAGCAGTCTCCTGTCTTCCTTCAGTGGAGCAGGTGTGCCTGAGGTTAAGTCAGTTMTATTTTTATACTTTAAGGACATCTTGAGCTCTAAACTGAATGGAAAATTCAACAAACATCTCCAACCATCTTCCACGGTAACTGAATGGAGAGCAAAAGATAATGATCTACGACTACTGCTGACAAATGGAAGAATAATTAAGTATGTACAATAGATCAGGTATCAAACAGATAATTTTTGTTGGATTCCCTTTGTTCTTGCACTGCCTTGTCCATACTGCTGGTGTTGACTATAGTATGGGGAAAGTGTCTCAGTTCTCTGCTCTGTAAATGAAGTGGGAGGGAATACATAGTCTTGCATTATTTCTGATTTGTTTTTTCCCAATAATACAGAGATGAGAGACAGCCCTTTGCAGATCAGAGTCTTTACACAGCAGATAGTGAAAATGAAGAGGATAAGAGAAGGACAAAGAAGACCATTATGAAGACAGAAGAGAGTTCAAGAATAGACAGGACAGAAAGTGAAGAATCTCGAAAACCACTTAACAGTACGTTTGCTGTAATAGTCATTTTAAAGTTCTCTTTATTCGTATAACAATTGATAAAGAAACTTACTAATGTTAAAATTCTTAGGTTTATAATAGGATTGAAAGTGTGTTCCTCATACTGTTCTGAAAAATCAGAAGTATGTCTGAATAGGGAAGTGCTAAATGTGAATACCAATGAGGTATAATGGCCAGGGATGTATCAGTGAGAGGGTTCGTGTGGGTAAGTGAGACCCATGTCTAGTCAGTTTTAAAGTCACACGAAAGCTCATATGTTTTATGGATCTTTACATATATAGTTTTAGCATGCATATATGATTGGCTGACCTGAAGCTACTTGGAATCCTTGTTCTGTAGTTTTATTTTATTGCCTCTTGATAGGAAGGCCTCTACTAGGTTGTTAATTGATTATCATCAAATAAAATAGCATTATCAGATGCCAAAGTAATACATCCTTCTCCTTCAGATCTTTTTTTCTTGAATAAAGTCAATTTCTCAACATCTGTCAAGATTTCCATATGCCCTTCTATTTTAAAAAGTAGTAAAAAAAAAAATTGCAGTATTTTAGCACTTGATAAGTAAATGTTCCGGATAATGAGTATTATTTAATGCATGTTGAATATCTCAGATCCTGCTAATTCCATGTAAATTTGGTATATGTATACCGTTGTTGACTTTGCCTTTGTTCACATGCCAGTGAAAAGGCAGCTGATCAACAAGAATGGAAGAAATGGTGCTGTGTGACAGTGCCTCATGGGAAAAACAGACAGTAGGAAAGCCCTGTTTATAATAAGCTCGTTAAATTCACGTCTCTGGGAATGCATTTTAGGGTTCAGAGAATTATCTTTTTGTTTTCTGTTGAGAGAACTAATGCAAAAGGAGAAGTAAAGGTTTCTTAACAGCTTACTTTAGTTTTGAAGGTTGTTTTCTAGAAAGAAATGTAGTTAATTCACTCAAGTAAGGAATATAAATATAATCATCTTCAATAAATACCAGACATTTTAAGAAATACCTCAGTCTGTATCTTGGTTAATTATGGAGAAAGATGGGAGAGATGAGGAGAAAATGAAAGTAGAGAAAAAGTAGGCTAGGTATTGTGAAGCAAGGTAGACTTTGGAAACTACTTGCCACCTTGTTCATAAAGTTCTAATGCTTTTTTTTTTCTTCCATCCTTTGTCTTATTCATCAGGGTTTTTTACAAGTGTGAAATCAGAACTCAGGAATAGATCATCAGAATATTCTGATATTTCTGATTCAGAAGACTCTGGAGCTGATTGCACTGCACTGGTATGCTCGAAACCCTGTGACTTCCGTCATTTGATGAGAGATAAGCATCCATGGACTTCACCTAGGAGGAAGTCAAATAATAGCCCATCCCAAAGCTTGTCTGTCTGACCTGTGCAATGCAGGGTCTTCCTATAGTTATTTTATACACACATATTCTGTGACTATCCAGCTTTTGTCCAGTTTTGAAAAGGGTTGACAACTTCTCTGCCTATATTATTCTTAGATTGATTGTATTTTTCACAAATATGTTTTATATTTTATTATTCCTTAAAATCCATATAGTGTGTTTTTAAATTTAGGTTGTATGTTACCATAGCTACTGGAGATTTCACTTTTTTTCATATGAAACATTGAAGTAATTCTATGGTAATTAAGATTCTAAAAAAAAAAAAGATTCTAACTTTCTCTGGATGGATGAAATCTTTTTTGATTAGTTTGTACAACCTTGATCAATTTCTTAGATGACTTTGTTTCCATTTAATTATTTATTATCTCAGAAAATTAATTTTACCACTGAGGAGTCCGAAAGTTCAGGCGATGAAAAGAAACAAGAAATAACATCAAATTTTGAGGAATCTAATGGGATGAGGAACTTCCTACAAAAGAGTCAGAAGCCATCTAGAAGTGAAATTCCAATTAAAAGGTGGGCTTGCTGATGATAGTATTTGTTTTACATTGTGATATAAATGCAATGAAGACTTTTTTTAATTTMAAGTTTTTTTTTTTWACTTATATATTTCATGAGAAAACATATTCTTTTCTCTTTGGATGACCTTCTCCTTAGGGAATGTCCTACCTCGACAAGCACAGAGGAAGAAGCTATTCAGGGCATGCTGTCTATGGCAGGGTTGCGCTATTCCACGTGTTTACAAAGGCAGATGCAAAGCACAGACTGCGGTGGTGAGAAGAACTCTCTYCAGGATCCTAACAGCTGCCACAGCAGTAACCATGAAGTTAGGCAGTTGTATCGCTATGATAAACCAGTAGAATATGGTAAGAAACATAAATTATTAAGTCTCTGAAAATATATGATCCCCAATTTAATAGCTCTATAATCCTAGTTTAGGTTAGAGATTGTATGAATAAAGACTATTTGTTACGCATCTTTAGTTTGACATGGTGTTAAGAAAATTCACTAAAAAAATATATAGCACTGACAGACAAATCATGTAATATGTGAGCATAAGAACACAAAATATGAATGACCTAGGTCTGAGAATTGCGTTCACTGGCACAGCTTTGCCTTTGCTCTTGCAAGACTGGAGTTTCCTTTTCACTACTGTTAGGTTGACCAGTTGGAAGGAATATTTTGGTCTCTTAAATGGTCTGCTTAACTAAAACAGTCAACCTTTTTTTTTCCTTTTATGAGAGGGAAAACAAGTTTTGAACTGTTTCTAATTGAGGATATTCTTTCTCCTCCTTGAAAAGGAAGAATTAGGAAAGAGTAGACTCAATGGCATGTAAGTGATGCCACCTAGTGTTTTCTTCTCTGTGCCTCCAGAGAAAAATTTTGTTTGCCAAAAAGTCTGAGAAGGATTTGGGAGAACATAGTCCTGCATTAAGATTGAATGCCAGTGGTGTTCAGTTCCACATAAGTAAGAGTCAGCAGTGGACCATAAATGAAATATTCATTTCATTTATGGGATAGGTAATATTGATCCCATTTTACAGAGAAAAGAAATAAGATTTATTGAAGTTACTTGTTTGTGTGTGTGGTATTGGGAATTGAACTCAGGGGGTGCTCTACCACTTATTTTAAGATAGGGTCTCACAAAGTTGCCCAGGCTGGCCTTGAACTGTTGCCTTAACCTCCCAAGGTTGCTGTGGATATAGCTCTGTGGTGGAGCACTTGTCTAACATGCACGAGGCCCTGGGTTTTATCCCCAGTCCTGACAAAACAAAAAGTAAATGTAAAACAGACCAAATCTGGAATTACAGGCATGCACCACTGCACCTGCCTTAGTGAACTTATTTTAACTTGCTCATACTTTACATATACATAGATAGCTATTATTCAGAACTATTATAATTTGAACTTAGTATTATCTGATCCCAAAGTCGYTGAAGGTTAAATAGTTTGCCTAAAGTTTATTTGGTAATGGAAAAACTCATATTTAAATCTGGGTTTGTCTGTCCTTCCCTGTTCCATTTTTGTCTTATAATCTGATTGGTCCTTTAAAAAGAAAGCTCTTTTTATGGAAATAACTACAAAGTTCAAGCAAACACGTGCCTTTAATTCTGTATGGGAAAACATGCCATTTTTAGAGAGTATATTAACATTTGGTTTTACATCAACAATATGTGGCCATAGGTGTTCTAGCATCTGACATAAAACCTGTCATATAAAGAGTCTTTGAGAGAACTGAAAAAAGTAGTGACAAGTTTGGTTGTAAGCTGATAACTTTTGTTTTTGTTTTGAGAGGGAAAAAGTGTAATGAAAGTGAAGGTATATGAATAAATGTCTAAAGAATTAACAAAATAGTAAGCTAATTTTGTTCTTTAAAATCAAGTTTTTACAAAGATAATTCAATTAAAACTTCTCCCTAGGATACCATGTCAAGACTGAAGATCAAGACTTGAGGACTTCTTCCTGGGTTAAACAATTTGATAGAACTTCCAGATTTAATCCTCAGGTATATTTCAAGGTTGAAACATTAAAAGGAGATTTAAAATCATCATTATTTTGATTTCTAAAACTGTAACTGGTTATTAACTACTACCTCTAGGAAGCCAAAGAATGGCAGTTACATGCACATTTGAACAACTGTCCATTTTTAGAGATTCTGCTGTGATGCCTGATGCTTCAAGGCCTAAAGACAGAATGTGATATGGAAAAGAGTAACTTTTTCAAGAAAGAGTTGAAACCGTTGGCAGCGGTTGGCAAACTGTAAGGTTTTATCTGGTTAGAGTGAAAAATGAGGAAAAGAGCATCTCTTTTTCATCTCTGATATTGTCTCTTAAACATTTTGATACTAAATTTCTTTCAGGATTTGATGAAAGTTACAGATTATCTTTCCCCAAAAAATATTTAATTGACTTTTGCTTACATTTGCTAAATGGTGCGTGCTGCCATCACCAAATCTCCATTGACTACAAATTAAAAACCTCTGCTCTAAGACAGAAACTAGATGTTTTAGGATCTCAGCATATTTGTGCTTATACCATATACAATGAACCCCAAACAGTATTAAAACAAACAAACAACAACAACAACAAAAAAAACAAACTAAACCTACAGTAACACCAAACAAAGAACATGATAAGACCTTTTGCTGCGAGCCTTAGAAAATGGCAGCCAGAGAAAGAATCGGTGTTATCATGAAGTGGAGTGGGGCCCCTAAAACTCCCCAACCCCAATCATACTTAAGAAGGAAAGTAAATCAAGCAAATGCAGAAATACTGTCATTTCTCTCTTRTCTAAAAAAAAAAACACTTTGAGGGGAATGGTGAGAGGAGGGGAGCTGAGTAGGCAGTTTAAGAAAAAKCGAAAGGAGACTCTCATGAATAAAGATTAGTGTTGTACTGATAGACCTCAGCAGGACTGGAAGTGTCTTCCAGAGCCTTGGGTTGAGTTGGAGGTGTGAACTTAAACTCTCCGAGGGGGAGATGTATGTGTGTGCACAGAARAGGCAGTAAGACTCTGCCTCCATGAATTCAATATTTTTGATATCTAAGTAGTGGAATTATGGGTGGTTTTCTTTTCTTGGCTTGGCTTATCTGGATTTTCTAAATTTTAGTACTTTTGCAATAAGAAAAAGTCAGGTTTTTTGTGGCAATGTTTTTTTGTGGTGCTGGGCCTTGCACATGCAAGGCAAATGCTGTACCCCAAGTTTTTTTTKTTKKTKKTKKTKKTTWAAAAAAAAAAAAAGGCTTTGTGTAATCTAGTTCTTTGAGCAGACGGATATGCTCCAGAGTCAAAGATCAAGTAAGAAATTTCTTACCTGTTACACTTCACTTTTTCAGTATGTGATTTTGTAGTGGATTTTGTAGTGGCTGGATATACAGTTTGTTACTTAGTAACATCAGAGGGATTTAGAATTAAAAATAAGCTATTATTTAAATCTGGCTTTTGTGTTTTGTATTGTCTTTGAAAATAAATGAAGAAGCAGAGGGCATATGATTAGCAAGATCACAGTAGAGCAAATCAAATTTCTTTTGTCTATAATCTAGAGAGATATTACAATGGCATGTCAAATTATAGGATTATGGTCTAGAATATTTGTTAGACTAATTTACAGCAATTCTGTATTTAATACTACTACTTTTGAAACGTATTTGATTAATGCAGAGTCAGATCAAATGTTTTTCATATTTCTTTCATACACATGTGTGCATAATTAAAGCTAGTTTCTGAAACATCACACTGAAGGGTACTCTTCAAGGCCAGTCTGTTCCTTTCTCCAGCTGGTCATGACCTTCTTAGTTAATTTCAAGACTCATTAGTTAGTAGTGTCTCCCTGCTTGAAGATTAACTCAATAGTCTTGAGAGACTGAAAGAGGAATTATAGTCAAATAAAAAACAGGCTTGGGGTTCTGGAATTAGGGATTTTTCTAGCAAATAAATACAGTGTAGATGAACCTTACAGAAGTTAAAGTCCTTTTTTTTTTTTTTTTTTTTGGTGGTACCGGGTATTGAACTCAGGCACTCAAAGTTAAGTTCCAAAAATATAGCACATTACATCGTGAGAGTTTTGTGGAAGCTGTGATGTGCTAAGGAAATGGTTGGGTCTCTGTGTCCCATCTTGTATCCCCCATGGCTCATGGAATGGCAGCAGACACCKCTGTTATCTCTCCCTCCCTCCTCCCCCTCTTCTTGACTTAGTTATAATGCAACTTCAAGACCTGGATTCTTCTGAACTATTAGATTTATTATGGATGGGATGACCATCATGAAGGGTGGTCATCTGTAGCTAATACATTAAGAAAACTAAAACTCAGTAATTTGTTTCTTTTCTCTCTTAACTTTGCTAATGTAAAGTTTGAATACCTCACTTATCATAAACCCTAAAAATTCAGCTTTGTTTCCTTTTTTTTTTTTCAGGACCTAAGCAGAAGCCAGAAATGCAACAAAAAGGAAGGTTCATCAGAAACCAGTCAGAAGGTGCAAAGTAGGAATTATATGGAGAGCAGTGGCTCAGGTCTTCAGAATGGAAAGTACATGCAGAATTCCAGCTTGCTTTCAGGGGCATGCCAGATGAGTAACGGCAGCCTAAGCCCAGAAAGGCCAGTTGGTGAAACTTCCTTTTCAGTGCCCCTTCACCCCACCAAGAGACCTGCATCAAATCCACCACCTATCAGCAACCAGGCAACAAAAGGTAAATTTTAAATATTTGCAGATTAAGTATATTTCTGACTGTGTTTGGCAGTAATGGCATCATTACTTCATTCAAGATGCTCACTATCTCATGAATTTTGACAGCTCTGTAATAGTATGCTCAAGCTACTGTGGGAACAAAGAAGGAAGTTACCTGGCCAACCCTGAAGATCAGGAGGAGGCAGATCCTAAAAGTAGATGATAAGGAGTTAACCAAGCTGAATTGGGGAATAGATAGAATAGACAGAAAGGAAGGCAGAGGAGAGAGCATGACCTAAGGTACCCAAGAAAGAACAGTTTGTGAGGTTTTGGTGAAATTGCAGTACATTTTGTAGCTGAAAACCATAGTTTGTTTAGAAAGAGGTTAGTCTTTACCCCAGCATGATGAGGGGGAAGAGTTTTAAACAGTGWAAGTCCATGGATTGGAGTCGTGGCTGAGTGGTAAAGCACTTGCATAGCACGCATGAGCCACTGGGTTCCATCCCCGACACCACATAAAAAAAAAACAAAAAACAGTTGAAGTCCAAAAGTGTGGCTTGGTGTAGTCAAATGCCTAATGGGCTTGCTTACTGTAAAATTCTCTTTAAGTCTTTCTGTGCTGTCTGGTGAGTATGCTTTTCATTGTTGTTGCTGTTTTATAGGTAAACGTCCTAAAAAAGGAATGGCAACAGCCAAACAACGTCTTGGAAAGATCCTTAAGTTGAACAGAAATGGCCATGCACGTTTCTTTGTGTGACAGAGCCACTGTTGCAGCCACTCTTCACTTTGGAGACCAGTCTTGGGGTTCAGAAGCCTGGAGCTTCCATCACCCCCTGCCTGGAACATTTGCGTGTACAGTAAGAACACTGCCCGAAGAACAGAATGAACCTGATGCTGCATTTTCACTGTGCCACACCCACTCAGCAATAACCCTTTGGACCTGGTGGGGGAGAGGAAGAAGGAGGGTAGAACCTTAAAAAGAGACCTCGAACTGGAAAGGGTCTCTTGTCAGGGCTTGAATTTCATTTTGTTGTTGGTAGTGTCTTGATTTATTTTCAGTAGTAGGGTAAAGAATTATCAATAATTTATTTAACAGATTTTTTTAAAGTTAACAGCTTTTAAATTCTTTCTTTTTTAAAGCTATTTATTTGGAAGATTTCTGGAGAAATATCTCACTAATTTAGATTTAAGAATGTGAAGGTTTTTAAATTATTTTTGATAGTGTGTGTGTTACATGTGGGAAAGAGCCACAGTAACAGTAACTAGTCTGGACTCTTAAATTTGATATTCAGGTTAAAGTCTTAAACAGGGATTTGATGCATTAATTATTTTAAATTAAGATGTATATGAAAATCATTTTATTTTATATATTTCATGTGTTTTTTATAAGCTATTAGCTTCGCTTTTGCTAACATTCAAGGTGCATACTGTTATCCAGGTTGATTCCCTTATACCCCACCTTCCCTCTGCACCCCCCTGTCATTTTGTGATGACTCTTCAAGACTCTTCTCTTTGCAGGGAAATACTTCCATAGCCAATGTGTAAGAACTTCATAAAAGATCCCTCATTTCTCATTTCCTTTGTGGTTTTCTTCTAAATATAAAGAACTAGGCTTCTTATGTTTTCATTTCTGCTGATGATATCTGGGTCCCAAAGAGAACAGCTTTAATATCTTTTTCCTACTTGTGCGGAAAGTATTATAAGTTTGGTTAAATAGTCATGTTTGTATTTTTTCCAAATACATTTGTAACTACAGAGGGCCTTCTTCCTACTGTCGGTGTTGGAGGACAGGGCCAACGCCTGCTGCAAGGTTATATCTCATGATGCTTTTATTCTTTACACCTAATTTGTTGAAAAGTATGAATTGATGTAGGATATATAAATCTGCATAATAAGCCGTAATATAATAGGATTATACTATATTAAGTTGTATAGATGCAAGCATGTTGGAGTAGATCGTGTGTGTGTGTGTGTGTGTGTGTGTGTGTTTGTGTTTACTTTTGTGCATAATTATTTCATATATGGATTTGGAGTAAAATGGGTGCTTCTTTTTGCAGTTTCTTCCATATATCTTAACTTGACCAGTGTATACTTAGGTTAACTATCTGGTTGAACTTTAAGGTAATCATTTATCTCCTTTATGTACAATTTTTACTAAATATTAGTTTTCAGTTGCTTATCAGAGTTTCTGGTTTCCCTTCCCCACCCCCACCCATGGTATAAAAATAAATGATTGCTAGGGGTGAAGTGAAACTATTCCTAAGTCTGACAATATAGCATTTTACAAATTTCTACAAAGACAATATAGGCAAATAGGCTGGAATTTATTTTTATGGAGAAGAAATATGGCCATACTATGGATTTGTCTTTTTTTTTTTTTTTTTTTTTATAAGCAAGGTAGCAGGACTTTTCCTTCTGTATTAAGTATCACTTAAGTTATTAAGAAAAAAAACTATCCCATTATCTTTCATGGTTGCATTCAAATATGTATTTCCAAAGAGAAATATTTCTTACTCCATTCCAGTATTTCATGAGATAACTATGAAATAACTTCTGAGTTGGCCTTTTTGGKCCAGAGTATCTGGGCCAGAGTCTGAATCTTATCTGGTTGTCAGAAAAATAATTTTTATGGAAATCCTTAAAATTTGTAAACAACCTACTTAAACCCCTGTCTGTAGTATACCTAACTAGTGGAGAGATGGCTGTAGTCAACCATTGGCTGGTCATCATATATCAAGATGCAAAAATCTGGTTTTGATTGATTCTCTCACCTTCCTCCACAGTATATCTCTATATACTTGTGTGTCTTGGTTTTTTGTAGACCCTGTTTTGATGTTATAGTATACATATTTTTATTTTGGTTTAAGAAATAGGAGTATAATTTCTTTTTCCAGTTACATCATGATCTGGATTTTTTTCTTTATAATTTTCACAACTTATTTTTAATTACTTTTTTCTTTATCYGTAAAAATTGAGAAAAAACATAATTTATTTTTAAAGAACAAAAATCGTGGCCACTATCCACCCTGTGTCCTTAGATCAATAAACACTAATTCTGATTAGCAAATATGTAGAATTTTTAAGTGAAAGTACTGTGGATTTGTTTTTTGGCAGTTTTAGCTCACTAACTGGCTAAGTTCCAAAACTTTCATCAAGGTCATATAACCACTATAAGAGAATACATGTATCTTTTTTTTTTCTGAATTGGTAAAAATTCAGCCACCCATCCAGTGACTTTTCTAATCAAACCTCTTATAAAGTTACTGCTATGATGCATTCCTTTATCTCTTGGAACTTACTGAACTTTGAGGTAATGACTGCCGGTTTCTGGGCTCAACAGTAACATAAGTAACCTTTAGTGTTTCCCTTAGTTTTGTTTATGATCAGTATAGACAGGAAGACAGCATTTAGTTAGTTGTAAGCAAATACAAATATGTAAAATCAAGAATTAGTGATTTAATGTATGCAACTTAACAGTAGTAGTAATTTTTCTATATTGATAGTAATTTTCCTATATTGATTCTTAACTTGGGATCCACTRTACTGTAATTCACATCATCACACAATGTTATGCTCCCCAGTACTGACGAGTGATATAAACAATACAAAGCTGGCAGTTTATAGTAATCCAGTGTCTTAGGAATACATTTGAACTTCATAAGTATCAGTTCATTTCTGAAGCATACAAAATTGAACATTCAGACTGAAATCATAAACTCAGAGAGGAAACAAGCTCATCTTTATCACTAGTTAAATACTTAACTTGAATGTTCTATTTTTAACAACCCTAAATATTGCCTTTTCATTGTACTCTACTGTATGTATTCATATGGGATCAGCAGGTATTTATCAAACATTTACTGTGTGCCTCGCACTATTTAGTATAGTAGGGTAATATCAACTTGCAGTTGTAGTCTTTGCCCAAGAAATTCTCCAGGAAGTTAGCAGTACTGTTTTCACTTTTAGGCAAACTTCAGCAAAAGAGGGCTCATTCATTTAAAAAAAAAAAAAAGTAGCTTATCTCTATTAGTTTCAATTGAGATATCCCACTGTAGAAGTAAAATTAACCCGAGTTCTTTAAGAAACATTTCAAAAGTTAGTTAATAATGTTGGAAACATAAAGATGTGAAATGATGTGGAAGAAAGCAAAAGGTCCTGAGTTTTGGTCTAAGTTCTGCTTCTGATGTGTCAGCTCTTGACCTTAAATAAGTCACTTAGCCTTTCTATCTTAGTTGTCTTATTTGTAAATTTGGATGAAAATGCTTATTATAATAATTACTGAAGAAAAACATTCCTTAATCTATTAATACTTCATATTTACAGAGAATTGATCATTATTTAAGTTACAACTCGTAATGAATGCATCTTTATATACATTTTTAAATGAAAACTGTTGTTTCTTATCAAATATATGCTATCTAAAAAAATCCGAAGATTCTCTAACAAGGTGCTGAATTACAGTTAGATCCTATGGTTGAAGTGAAAGAAAAAGAGGTGAGCTAGTTTATGGATAGAAAAGTGAGAGAGTTTATTCTCAAGTTCATGAAGATGATGTAAAATGATTAAAAGATACCTTTAGATTTTAGTACTGCTTTCCAGATTTGGCATACTTTTGAGGTACTGGGGAAAAATGGAATAAGTTATGGAATTAAAATTATTTAGCAACTACCCTTGGGGCTGGTAGAAAGACATAAGGTGGTTAGAAAGACGGAACTCCTCAGACAGCTGCAAGTTGGGTGACAGTTGCCTGGGTAAAAAAAGAAATCTTTGGAGTAGTGCAGGAAAGGAGACTGACTATGTCTTCTACAGAAAATAATCTGCTTGTTTCAAAAGATGCTCTCTAAAGTGGTAAGGCTACTTTGGAGAGTTGATGGGAATGATTGCATGGCCCAATATGCTACTGCTAGAAGTAACTGTTACAACAAATAAGCATTTTTAGTTTTTGCATGGGAGAGACAAGGGCTTTCATAATATAAACATCTTTCAGAAATTCATCTTTCTCATTAAATATTGACTAATTTCTCCTTATATACAGAAAAGCTCTTGCCTAGTTTGTGCAAGGCCGTTGTTTAGATCCCCTGCACTTCAAAAGAGAGAGAAGCGAAGTCTCCTTATTCCTTTCCTGATGTCCTACACCTTCATCCAAAGTGATCTTGAGGGTGAGCGTCATGTACCTTTAGCGTAGGAAAGCCAGTGAAAAAAGGAGACAAATGTACATCTGATAGGGCAGTGATTTGCTTGGGGACACAGGGTGAATCTGTTTGGGATCTATAGAATAAAACCTTGCTTCCTAAAACAGCTCCTGTTCTGTGACACTGCAGCCTCTGCTTGCCTTGCCGTAGATGATGTTCATATGCTTGAGGTCAGATGGAAAGGAAGGGGAGAAATTACTATACTTATTACTAAATTGCTGTTGAGTGTAATGTCAACTTAGTACTATAGCCTTACTAAAAACCCTTCCCTTATTTTATTTCTCAATGAGCATGCCATAAGTCAAAGAAATACTTGATATTACATAAACAGTTTTAAGATCATCCAGAACAAATGCATATTTCCAAAGCAGTTAACTTATTGTGATGGACTGGTTTTATTCCTCTGTAGAAATTTTTCCTTCTTTAGTTGGGAGGAGAAAATAATACTGAGTTGAGAGACCCTTAGATTCTCCCTCTTGCCTTTGGTGCCCCTTCTTGTGTCTTAAGACTTTGTCTTAACAAGTGCAACATTACATTTTTGTTAAAACCTTTTTAAAWCTATATTCAATGATTCTTCCAACAAGTTTTTCTGCTCTGCACTATTTCACTAATATACCCTGGCTACCACGTAGCCCTTGACCTCCAAGTAGTTTACCTATGCAAAACCCATGACCTTCTGAATTCACTTTTCTTTATTTCAGAAAGCACTCATAAACAGAACTTCCTTTAAAAAAAAACAAACTTATTTTCAACCAGTTTTATTTTGGCCATTTCTTTTCCAAAATATAAGCTATTTTCCCCTAAGGTTTTTCACCAAAACAATGGTCATTAAGTGCTAGGATATATAATATTTTGCAGTAATAAAATAACCCAGGCATACTCTTATATTTATTTGGTGGATTTTGGTTGGTAAAAATTACCAGCATTAAATGTAATATATAATGAGGAGTTGATTCCTTGTCTAGAATCATTTCTTCCCTCTAAGATTCAACAGTAACGTTTTATTTTTTACAAAGCATACATATAACTTCCACACTATAGTCAGGGACCTGAGGTGTAACTTAACTAAGTGAACCCCAAGGTTATTTTATCTTGTAAAAGAAACCTAAACCAAACTAAGGGCCTTACAGTTTATGGTTAGACTGAATCAAAAGCTACAGCCTCAGTTTTTCCACAAACAGCTTCTGGCTGCAAAGCACGTCGTGCAGTTATTAGGCATGGAGTAGCACCGATCAGGAAACGCACGAGCATCTTTGCAGACTGTATTTCCTTCGGAAAAGACTTTTCTACTTTTAATATAAATTAAGCCATAACAGTTTCATGCTGTGGAAAGAGGGTGAAAAGGTTCATTTTAAGAGATTATATAGTATGAATTTTCAC